CTCTTCTTAAATTTGTTCTTTTTCGAGCATAACCAGACACATGTAGTTCCTCTGAGAACAAGGAGTGGCAGGTATTGGCTAGAGAAAGACAGGGTGTATAAAATCAGATTATTTATGTAGGAAACAGTTTAGCTGGTGTCAACATCCCAAATAAAAACTGAGATTCCTACAGAGTCTTAGGGAATGCAAATACTGACCTACCAGTCAACAATGGGAATTGCCTGGAAATCTATTTCAGTTGCAAGCAATTTTGGCATGTCTCTATTGTGTATACTGTGAATCCTTTCAGATAAGTTTTTATAATGCAGTTGTTCTGCTTCAGTCATATAACTTTTCAGAAGGCTCAGGAGTCATTGTATTCTGATTCCCACTCCATTCCAGTCCAGTCCATTCCAATTTTCACCATTTTCTCCTATCAGAAAAATATCCATCCAAGATGAAATAGCAAATTTGACTTCTCATATCCTTTGCTTGATAGCATTAAGACCACTAATCTCTCTTAGAAGGCACCTGGTGTCTGCTGATAAAAAGGAAAAAAAAATAATCAACACTATCTCCAGCCAGATATTTAGGAAGTATGGAGGCAGGTATGGCACATTTGTCCATCAGCTGGTATGCAGTGGTACATAATTGCTGAATGTGGGAAATTGGTTCACTTAATATGAGTGACTGCCATTAATTCATTTAATTAAGCCTTTCTTCTGTAAAGTTTCTTGAGTGTCCAATGTCATATAAAGCATACGTTTTATATAAAAAACTTTATTTTGTCTACTTTGACTTTTTGTGTGTACATGACTTCTAACACATGTCTTTACATAACCCAGAATTTTTTTGTAAGCAGTTTCACTTAACATTAAAAGCTTCTTTGTACATTTTCTAAACAAGAATGTTATTTTTGTACCAATGTCCCCAACACAATCATATTTGTTTGGACAACTGTTCAGAAACATGCAGAAAAATATAAATCCTGAATTTCAGTTATTTCCTGGCTCACAGCCTGATTTCAGAAATGTGTATTTGGTAGCTTGGGTATCAAAGCAATGTCTCTTCATTTAGTCATAATTAGAAGATACATAGAAAAAGTAACGATTGAAGAAAACCCAGGATAACTAATGAAACTTAATCAGAATCGAAAAGAACGTGTATATGGGCATATACAGCACATGCATGATTTCTTGGGAGTTCAGAAAAAAGTTGTTATGCAAAGATGCTATGTGTGTGTATGGTTTCAAGTGAATGTTGTGTCATGGCCTCAGAGACAAACTCCAAGAAGCAGGGCGACCTTCCTTGGCATTAGAATCCTGCACCCTGGCAAATAAATGCCTCACGAGCAACTTCAACAACTGATGCTGGTTCTACAACCAAGCCCAGTGCGTCATTATTGGCAAGCTCTGAGCAGGGAGAGCCTCACCTGGGTCTGCTTAGAGCAGAGTGGATTTAAACTGTATGGGGACAGCTTCCATTGCTGAAAGCCGCTTGTTTTCCTGTTCTCTACTCCTGCTTTACTTTGACCGTAACATGTCCCTTACCAAGTCTCTGGCTCACCCCTCAGTACTTTTCAAGCTATTGCTTGATATTGGATTACTGACTGTCTACTTGAATTATGACTTCTCCTCAGTCTACCCATGCCTGCTCCTTTTCCTGCTTCCTCAACATTTTTGCTGTTGCCTTCTCCCTGCCAGTCTCTTGCCAGCTTTCCAGATGAGCTTTCCTGCCCCCAAGCACCTGCTCCATGCCCATACTTTGCTTAACAACTGCATGGATTGTTTCTGCCTTTGCTGAAGCCAGGACATGAAAGTTGACTCCTGGCCATTGCCTGGACAAGTCCCTGCAGTTTTCTTGGCAAGGTTTTTCTGAAAGTGCTTACCTGATCCCTAGGCCTGAGAGACAGGGACTGGCTCAAGATCACCAGCACTTTTTTGTGCCTAAAGCAGGACTAGAACTCAAAATCTCCCAGTTTCTAGCCTGGTGAATTAACCATGGCACCAACTTGGCTCTGTTTATGCAAAATTAGAAAAGAATATTTTTTATTCACAAAGGATGTAAAGACTGTTAGGTCTGACATGATGCAGGTAATGAAATTAAAATTGAAAAATTACAAAAGTGAAAAGGAAAGCTGATATTGGGATGTGGCTGGGGATATTTACTTATTTTAGATTGCATAACTGATATTTCCTCTAGCAGATCTAAATGGCATTCTGCGGTTTCTCCCAAATTGTACTCTTTTCAGATTACTTTGTGAGGTAGGCTGGACGGAGAAAAAGTATTTAGATTAAAGTTACTGATAGATTTCCATGGCTGTATGGAAATTAGCTTCTAGATCTCACTCATCCCAGTCCAGCCTCTTTACCATGTCACTATCTTTCAATACTTTGCACCAGTCTTAAAATCCACCTGTAACTTTTCAACCAGAACAGACCTGACCAAAGATCAAACAGTGAGGAAGAAGCTATGAAAATGAGAATCATGTTATAAACTTATGTTTCAATTTCTATCATTTGTAGTGGAATGTGCTTTCAAAAATGTTTAGAATAGACACTACACATATTGTAGCATGCAATCTTGCACAAAGGTTGAGCTTGCAATGAGGAATGCTTTGAAGGGAAGTCCAATTTGTGCAAAAAGGAATTCTCTCAGGGCAAATGTATGTAAGTTTTTAGAATAATTAAGGAAACAATTGATTAAAAAATGTTTTATGATTTTTCCTTTCCTGGTAAGGTATTAAATTGGGGAGTTTTTCAGGGTTAGTTGGTTTAGAAGGATTGGTATAATAGCTTTTGTCTATCACTTTCTTCTTTTATTGCAGAGCCCTTCACATCTTTTCATGAGGAGCTGCCTGTGCTTTGGGATATTTAGACTTGTGGCCTTTCTTGTCCTCTGGAATATCTGTTGTGGTGACTCTGGTTTATGGAAGATGCTGGAAGCCCTGGAGAAACGAAATGGATCCTAAAACCATCAGGAAAACGAAGGAACAAGCAGTGATAATGGTTTGGCTATGGATAATGTGCCTTTTTGGCCTAGCAACTTCTCTAGAAGGTAAATGCAAAGTTGGTTCACTCCATAATAGAAGTATTATTGATTGATTATGTGCCATCAAATTATTTTTGATTCCTTGTGATCCCATAAGGTAAATTTTATTCATGCCAGTCTATCCCTAATCTATTCTTTCAGGTCTCCCCACAGTGCACTCACTGGCACTGGTATCAAATCCATCCATCTTGTTGCTAGTTGTCTTCTTCCTTTCTTTCCTTCCACCTTTCCCATTATGTCGAATGCCATTATGTCAAATTATATATCCACAGCTTCTTTATTTATAAGTGGCATGTGCTGCTGACTAATGTTTTCAGAGCTAGCTGAAGATCCTTTGCTAGGCAGTTTTGCTCTTGTGAGTACTGATTATTAAATGACACTTCTAAGTATTTTATGCCAGATATATTGTATATTGGCTGGCGGAAAGCTGATTAAAATTCTAAAATCTTGAGTTTTCCAGTTCTCAAAAAATAAAAAATTCCAGAGGCTACGTATTCTTTGGCTTTTACAATGTGTCTTGTGTCAGCCCCACTCTTCAATTTATATATTTAATAAATATTAAATATGCTCAAATGCTGATTTATTATTAAACCCCCAAATTTGTTGCCATTCAGAGAAACTCTACTAAACTTCTGTGAATCTGGAAAGACATAATTATTTGAGTTATTATAAATGTCCTCATTGCAAAAGGTAACAAAAGATGTTATTTCTGATGGTTGCTTTTTCAAATTAAACGTTCTAGACCTTGGGGTTTATAGAAAGGGCAAAAAACATGCTTTGCAATGATGCTAAAAAAAGTAGAAAGTTATAAAAAAATCTCAGATTTAATTTTAATATAAAAATGATGTGGGTTTACAACAACTGTATAGGATAACCTAAGGAGCCACTGAGACTCTTGCCATTTTTGATAGCAATCTTTAGATGGTATTTCTGAGGAATTATATCCCTCTTATCTTCTGAACATCTGTGGATCCCCGGTAATTTATGAAGTAATTAAAAAAAACACCCTATTTTACAGGGCTGATTCATCCGTTGAGGCAAGAAAGTATTGAGCTGAATTGAGTTTCAAGGAGGTACTTTTGCTTTATTTGGTGATTCTCCCCCCCCCCACCCCCCAATTCATTCAATCATATCCAATTTTTTGGAGACTGCCTGGAGAAATCCCTGCATTTTTCCTGGAAGGTTTTTCAGAAGGTGGGACTAGAACTCACCTTCTCCCCGTTTCTAGCCTGATTCCTTTGTCATAACCCCAAACTGGCTCTTGTTTTTGGAGAATATAGTTATGCAGATGTTTGGAGGGAGCATGTTCAACACGGCAGAGTAGCAAAGCAACTTCATTAAAATTTAAGGGAGAAAACTGAGAAAGGAAAAGAATGTAGGCCTTATTCATAGGTAGATGTTTATTCTTTTTGAAGTTTATTTTTTAACTCAAGTTACCAATCATGGTCTTGAGGAAAACTTGATGGAGATTCAAAATATATGAATTTATATTTGATTGTATAGAACTGCTGTGACTTCTACATATGCAAATGTTTTGAAAAGAGAGAAGAAAATATATCATAATTGATACTTCTCATCTGACACCTTTCTACTGTTAACTCATACAGTAATAGGCTCCTATGTACAGGCGCTGATAATCACCCATTGGGAGTTAAATATAATATGGTATGGAAATATTTTAAAGGGGCTTTAAATGCCACACTCTCACTTGTGATCATGGAAGCAGTTGTGCTATCTGTTGAGGAACTAACCCACCGCTCCTTTAAATAATTGGATTTCTATATTATAAACATGGGATGTTGGAGAGGGGATCCTTCCTCAGTGGCTGCTTTGACGCATATGGCTGAAGAAGCGCTATCATCTGGATGAGTTAAAGCAAGGAAGTGAAGGAAGTGTATGATGCATTCAAGATGATTGACCCGAGGTTGTTGTTTTTTTTTAAAGGAGAAGGAATATCAAAACAAACAGATGAAGAATTGGGAATAGGGGTGGAGGGGATGAAAGTATAACCATACTGGATGACCGTACTGTCGGATGGTTATAAACAGTGAATGAACGGGGAGATAATTTAAGCTAGCCTCCTTCTTTGTCTCCTTTTTTTTATCTTCTGGTTCTCTTCCCTTTCTTGTCCAAGCCCTGCACATCCCAACACTTCTTGTTTTCATTCATCACAGCCTGGTCTTTTGCCTCCGTTGGCTTTCCCCCCCTGCTTTTTGACCTGTCTTTTCCGGAGGCCTTCACGTGGGAGAGAAAGATGTGCATTCATCATGAAATGGCTCAGGTCAGTGAGCACATGTGGCCGCAGGGATTTTCTTTGGCCCAGCTACAGGAGTGTCCATGATACCCCCTCTCTTTCCCTGCCTGGTTAACTTTCTATTCTTGTTTCCCCTCTCCAGGTTTCTTTGTCTGCTTTCTGACATTCCTCTGATACGACATCAATCTCTTTATAGTAGAACGTCCTTTTCCTCCATATTGTCATCAGTCATGGCAAGTAGTGACTAATATATCCTAATAGGCTTAAAATAACTGTACCTCCATTTTTTGAAAACCTTTTCTGACAAAACAAGATTGAACTCCCCCCCACACCCTCTTTTTTAAACTCTCTGCAATGGTCTCTTGACATCGAAATACTTTCCCTCCTTTCTCTGTCCTTTGCTGACTCCTGATACCTAGAATTCCAACCTAAGAAATATGTTTGTGGTGCTTGGTTTTTGAAGCCGTCAACTTAACACCAACATTCTTCTCTTCAGTTGAAACAAGATCTAATACATGGATTTTGTGTTTGGCTGGCATTTATTCTTGATTGGCTTTCCCTTTCCCTTCCTAGTTAGGAAGGGACTTTAAATGGAAGTTCCATGGCCAGAATTCGAAGGGGCGACTGCTGATGCTGCTGAATACTGTTTGCAGGGGAAAGGACTTGATTTCCTGCTGTGCCTGTGGGCTTCCTACAGATGTCCAGTTGGCAGATGTAGGAAACAAGACGTTGCACCTCGCAGGCCTTTCATTCGACCCACTCATTACACTCCATATAATGGAAATGTTGATTAAAGTCCCTTGGGGGGCAGGGAATTAATTTTTTAATCTTGTTACTTGGTGAAGCTGCATTATCTTCATTGGCAAGCAGCCCTAACGGTTCACAATTATAATAATGTTCTCCATCTATAATGTTCTAGCTTTTGCTTTTTTTTTTTTTTAAATCTGGGATGATTGCTATATATATATTCACCGGGCTCCTCTCATGTTGCCCTCTGCACATATGCATTTATTTATTTGTATAATTTATTGATACAAGAATTGATCTGTTGCCTCCTCCTAAGTGGTTCTCGGTATTTTCTGTTTATACCATTTCAAGTCCAATCCATCCAGTGGATTCATTATCATCACAGCTCATTGCAGATATGGGAAATGGGACTTGATACATTTGTGGGTATAGGAAAAGCTGTGTTCCAAACCAAGCAAAATAGCTGACCTTAGTTCTGAGGCTTTCGTTATTTTTTTTATTTTTTTACTTTCCAAAGAATTAAATCCTTGAAATCTGGCACTAGTAACTAATTCTTTTCCTCCATCAGCTTCCTTTACTTGGTTCATTTATGCACCCCATTTCCTTTATAGCCAAGACCTTTTATTTGTTTCTGTCTGTACTAATGTCTAATTTCTATGTACATATGGTTCCATTTGAGAATGCCTCTTTTAGTCCCATTTACTAACCCAGGCGATGAGTTAGCAGCTTCAGAATAATCCTTAAATGCCTTAACAGAACACAGAAACCAAAAATATAAGATGAGCTGTGTAGAACTGTCAAGTCTATTCTGGCATCTTGTTTGTCCCAATAGCCAAGCAGCATCACATGCTTCTGAGAAATCATAAACATAACTTGACCCCAAAACACCCTGAAATTCGTGTTCTCCAGAACTGTCATTTTTCCAGTATTGGAGTTAAGATGTGTATTCTTACAACCAGAGTATCCATTGGAAAATTCAAATTTCATCATTGATTCAATTTTAAATTCTTATTAGTTGGCTATAACTACATTCTTTAGAAGCCTGTTTGTGGGAGACTTTTCAGAGTAGATATGTCAAGCTTTTGGCAAGCATGTTACTAAAGAAGCAAGATTTGGAAAGTCTAATTTAGCAGATCTAAAGCGATGATGATGATGATGATGATGATGATGATGATGAATCACGTAGTCAGCCGGATGTTTAGACTGGATTTGACATTTTTGTCTACCTACTGAGTCCTTCCCAAGGACCTGGGATACACAGATGTTATTCTTTGATGGCGCCAAAAGTATGATTGCAGAATGCAAGTTGTGAGTAAAGCTGCCTTTTGCAATTTGCAATTGATTTTGTCAATGCTGATGGTGTTCAAATGGTGTTCTAGTTATTTTGGGATTATGTCCAAGGTGACTATTACTATTGGTGCTATCTTCGCTTTCTTTTTCCACAGTCATTCAGACATCATCTTCTTATTAATCATAATAATAACTGGCAAACCCTATCTGATTCAAAAAGACCCAGCAAAGAGGACAACACCAGGAAACTATAGGATGATAAGATGTTTGCATACAATGTTTGATGACTCACAGGTATAATAGCAAACAACATTCAAGATTATTTAGAAAAAAAATAATACCCTTCTGATAGAATAGAAAAAAAGCAGAAGGAAAATTAGAGGTACAAAAGATCATCTTTTGATATATAAAAAGATTTTGGAGAATGCCAAAAGGCAAAAAAACCAATTTCCATATGATCTGAATTGATTATAAAAAGATGTTTGATTCATTACCACAAACCTGGATCATCAAATGTTTGGAAGCAACTACATCATTAAAAAACATTAAAATGTTTATAGAAAAAATAATGTAGCAGTGAAAAACAGAGCTTGGTGATTGGAAATGAAAAATGTGGGCTCATCAATATTAGAATAGGCATCTTCCAAGCTAATTCATTATTACTCTTATTATTTGTCATTGCTGTGATTCTACTTTCAGTGATTTTGAATAAAAG